TTTTTTTACGCACGAAGGTACCCGTGAAAAGAAGCTCGAATAAAACGAAGCCTCGGATTTGTCTCGGTCTTTTTCTCCGTGGTACAACACCCAGAATATCCCACCCATTTCGTTGGAGAAACAACCAAACCACGCTCGGGCGTTGCGTCGTTTGGATGATCCGTATAAATGGGGAAAGTAACCGATATACACGCATCGCCGCGTTTAATACGGCGGAATCAGTCGGCCAATAATGGAATTTACATCGGTTAGACGAGAGGGAAGAAGGGTAGACGAGAGAGAGAGAGAGAGTGCGGACGGAGGGTATGAAACCGCCTTTCCCCCGCGTTGCACAACATAACGCGATGTAATCTGGTATCGCGCGATGGACGTGCGAGGCCGCCGGTCCATGCACCCATTTGTGCCGGCACCGTGGATTTGGATGAATCGATATCTCTACGACTCGGCTCTCTCCCTCTGGCACATCGGCCATCTCTCTCCCTCTCGCATCCAGCCGCCTCGGTGCGCCGATAATCCCGACTCCCACTCCGCTTCGTCACTTCGTCTGCGTTGTCCCCCTTTAGCGGTAACGGCCAGACTATCGGAGCCAGGGCGCCGGCTAGTCTAGTCAAATAAAAGTTGGAAGTCGTCTAGCCCCCGCTAAATATCAGGCGGATGCGCCTACCCGATCGGTCGAAGGATGCTAACGGTGTTATAACAACGCCCCGACATTTTGCCTTCTGTAATCGAGTATCTTCGGCGTTTGCAGTCCATCCTGACAGTAGTCGAGCACGTAACACCGATAAACAAGCTGGAAAACTAGATAAACGAAATAAAAGCACTGGTGAGATCAAAATGTCGGATAAAAGTCGTATCAAAGAGTCAATACATAGTGATGGGCGTTCAAAATCCTCTCTCGAAAGAGTTCTCAAGCAATATCATCGTGCAAGAATTCGAATTACTGCGGATGTTATAGGAAACCGGGAGTTCTTGGAAAAACTTGGTAAATTTAGAAAATTTTAAATATCTTGAAACCCTTTAAATATTTAAATGTCTAAAAAATCTTTCCTCAAACATAGTTGGATATCTGAGCAATTGAGAAGCATTAAAAATCCATAAAAATAAAATTGCTACTCGCGTCTTTGCATCAAATAATATAAAATAGAGCGTTTTATAATAAAAGAAATATATTTCTATTATCTAAAACACTCAAGATTCTTGAAAATAAAATTGTTGTCTGCATATTTATATAAAATAAAGGGTGAATTGAAACATAAAATGTAATAAAAGAAAAAATGTTCTTGTGAAATATTCAAGATTTACACGATTTTCAAAAATATTTTGGTTACCGGTAATATTCGAGAGAATTCCATTTATATTCATATATTCGAGGCAAATCGATGTGTCCTGAGCCTATTAATACTGCTAGGTAGAATCGGTTTTTTCTTTTTTCTGAAAAAAGTATTATTCTGAAAAAAAGATTATATGTATAGGTACACGAGTTAACTATCAATTAGACACTTATCTATTAATAGTACTGAAAAAGCATAACATTTCAAACATGCCATTTATATATATTTGTATTTATGTAAAATATTTAATAAAGTAAGATTTAACAAGATCCTCAAAATTCCATGTTGAAATTCCCTCGGTATTATTAAAACGACGATGTAATACATAATCTAGGTTGTCTGATGTATAATGTGCCTTTTAAAATGCGCCGGAGCTCCCAGCGACAGTATCCCTGCTTCGGGTCTATTTGTCGCGCGGTGAACATTTATTTCTCCTCCTCTCAGCTTTGTAAATCTTACTCAGGAGCGAGCCGTCCGTCTTCGGTCTTTTCTGCGCTGCTTTCTGCGCCGTTCTCTCACTCTTCGTTTTACCTACCGTTTTCTCCTTATCCATTTATCCCGACGTTTTTTCGACGACTCTCTTAGCTAAGAATCCCTCGACCTTGCAACGAGATTTATTGCTCTCGACCAATCATCTACGCTGAGATTGTCTTAGGTGCGGAATACTGATCTTGAGCCATGTCCAATTATGAGGAAGTTAATTTTTCACGTGGAGATAATAATCTCGATCGTTACCCTGACGCGCTGATTTTCAGAGCTGTAATAGATTGTCTCTTCGTGTGTTAAAGGTATAATATACTACGCATATATAAAGTATGTGTTGTTCGTAATATTTTATAATCAATATATATACCTATATATATCGACAATAAACAATTTATGTGTCTCAACTTTATAAGATATTTCAAGTTAGTTCTCGCTAATATTACACCTGTTTAAATGAAAGTTCTGGAAGCTTTGTATATAACTTTTCTTTGTAACGTTTTTAATTTCGTAACTCTTGTTGCAGGTACATGTATCTGGCGACCTTGCCGATGACATATCACAGCTCGCGCCAGTCGCTACAGTTAGAGAATTGAACGAGAAAAGAACGCATTTGTACACCGCGTGTCCAAGATCGAGTCGAATGTCGGTCGGAAAAATAAAGAAACACCAAGAAGTTCTGTTGCCTTCGTGATTTACAAGAGCCATATGGACATAATAGACTATACAGCTTAATAGAACGCGAAATTCTGGCCGTATCAAAAATGACCCAGATTCGTTTCTACAATATTCTACACTGCGCTACAGCAATATTAACATTTTTCGGCTCACATCAGATCGTCGACGATCGTAGTAATTCGCTTCGATCTAGCGGCCAATATTCGAGATTGCTGGGAAATTTCGGACGCTCTCGCGAAACTTAGAAGATTCTTCGAGAATTCCGTTATATCCAATATCTGCATAAACAAGATTCTATCGATATGTTTATTTCTGATATCTTAGGTTGATATGTCCAACATTTGTGATACAAATTCTATAATCGTACATTTAGAGCTAATACTCGAATATTATGACACATTATATCAAAGTAAAACTATAATAGCGTCGCACAAAACAACTTATGATTTTTTAAAAGCCGTTCAAGCGACAGCATGGAAAGATAGAAAATCATATTTATGATAATGGTTCGTTAAACGATGTTATTGTTTCTTAAGTTACTTTGCATCCGTAAATTGAGCTCCGTAACTATCGACGTTTCCGATCGACTATCGACGTCGTCAAGGAGATAAACCCGGAGCCCCAGTGATAAAGCCCTTACCGTCGACTGTCGGCCACTTGTAAATGACCCATCTCGTCAGAGACTCTTCAATAAAAAATCAGCGACGATTGTTCACCTTGGCGACGATCAGCGAGGAGTTTCGAGTATAACAAGAGAAAGACAAGTGAAAGGTCAGCGAGAAATTCTCGAAATTTTCGGGAGAAAAAAATCGCGATTTTGTCCTGATAGATTTATCGGTCGTTTTGACAATAGTTAATATCATCTCGGCTGATTAAATCGAAATTAAGACTACTTTTGGTAATAGAAATGACACCTCCCGCTTTTACAATTAGTATAATTTTTGTAAGTATAATTGTCGATGCTGCACATAAAGAAAAATGCTTGTTTTGCGTTTTTACTCCGACACTTACAGAAATTATACCGGCTTCTGTGTTTTTTATAACATGACGACGTTTCGTTTAATACGCTTACCTAATTCAAATTTAACTCGCAGCAAGTCCTTTTAATTAGCTAATTTACTTAATCGTTGCGCCCTTAAGACCTCCCAAGTTACTCTTCTCTTCTTTGCCCGAGAATGACTCATTACGAGATTGAAAAGCAGAATATCCTTCTGCATTTATACAAGAAGAACATGACGTCAAAATAATAGAAACAATGCAACTGCCGGGAGAAAAAAAGAAATAATCGCGATATTATCTATGAAAGGAAGACTCAGAAGAGATTACAAAGGAGGATTTATTCTTCAAACGCTGTTTTATCCCTTTCAATATGACGACGTTGATGGTGAAGTAATCATTCGTTTCGTATTAGAAATACGATTGAACGGGGAAATTAAACGCAAATATTGGAGTAGCCCGTATATCAAAAAGAATTCAGAAAGATATGCTGGTGCAATCAATTCACAAACAATAAAAACTAGAGAGAGATTTCAAAACAAAATTCTTTTTAATATATTTCGGATCGTACCAATAAAACAAATTGAAATGTTTGTTTGTATATTTTACAAAAACACAATGTGTTTTAAGAGAAGCACTTTTCCTCGTAAAAAAAAGTTTCTGCAGAGAGTGGTTCTTACGATCACTGTGTTCCAGTATATCCTTTAAAGAACAATTTTCTTCAACCCCAGAAAGAAATTGCTAAGGAGAAGTACTTATCCTACGTTCCGTTAATTTTTTCCAAAGTAGATATGTAAATATAAAATGTTTCTTAGCCTTATCTACTAATTTTTTTATCGGTTTCGTTAATTTTATTCGTCCTTATTTCTGTTCAGTTTTCAAAAGAGTCGTTCGCGAAACGCTCCGTCTCATGATCCTCTTGTTATAAAGAAGAATCGTGAAATTAAGAATTAACTTTAAATTTTTAATTGACTTTAGAAAGTAAACGGAAAGTAGCGCGGTGGATCTGAGACACCCTGTGCACGGCAAACCGCCGTTGGCCCGACGGGCGTTTTACCTCTCTCTAAAAGGACAGTCGAGCGAAATTGTCTGCAAGCGAGGTAAACCCAATGAGTGAAAGAAATTGTCGCGAGCGTTATTGTTAGCGGAGAGGAGCGAAACGACAGGGTGTATAGTAGTCGCGATGAAGCGAATAGAGGCTCAAACTCGCTTTCGACCGAGAGAGGAAAAGAGGGAAAAAATAGAGAGATAGATAGATAGAGAGAGAGAGAGGGGGGGAGAAAGAGAAAGAGAGAGAGAGAGAGAGAGAGAGAGAGAGAGAGAGAGAGAGAGAGAGAGAGAGAGAGAGAGAGGAGACCGTGCCTGTGCGCGAGTCCTGGGTGGTAAAACGGGGAGGCGAAGAGGGTGCTAGAGAGCCTGGAAGGGTGCCTAGGATGCGATGCGGTGGGGGTGGGTCGGGATTGGCTTTTCGCGAACGTGAAACTCAGTAGTACGCTACCACCCACGCACGTAGTACGCACGTTCGCTCCACGTGTGCTCTAGAAGTTATCCCCCGTTCCTCACATCTTGTACCGCGTGCCAACAACGAGGGAGAGTTTCTCCCGGGCGAAGATTTCTCCGACGCGCGTTTTGGTGGCGAAGCAATTTGTAAGTACATCCAGCTAGAAGCACTCGTACCTGTCACAACTCGAGGATAGAGAAGACTGTCGGCAATGGTCGAAAATCTTGAAGATAAATAACCGATGAAAAGTCCGCGACTGTCAGTCCGCAATATCGTAACGATTATCAAAGATGCCACGTGAAGAGAAGACGGAGCGAACGATTTGTGTTAGTACAATATTTGCGGGTGTCATCGTCGGAACGTGAAGCGAACGGGGGATTCCCTATCAAGGAAGACACACCATCCATGAGGCCAAGCGAAAGCACAACCGGGTGAATGCGCCACGAGGTTCAGCAGAATAGAAATCTTTGCCATCAAGAAAGTAATGAACCGACGACAATAAATTTTCCATTTTGCATGTTCCATGAGCGACTCGACGATACGCTCTATTAATTCTCTATCGGATAACAAAAATGCAATTAAAAATCGACATTGTGTCCGTAATGGAAATATCCAAAATGACAAATTCACGCGGAGCAGAGAATTTCTCGCGTTGACAATGCCAAGATCGCAGATTTCGTAGGACGCGACGGATGCAGGTTGCCTTGAAAAAATAAAAAAGAGATCGAGGACTATAATCGTCCACGGTACAAGGTAAGTTTTGAAAGAGAGAAATTAAAATTGCTTAGAAATAAATTATTAAATTATTTTATTTTCGATTACAATTTATCTCGGCTTTTCAATAAAATAAAATACAGTTATCGAATTTTCGATAAAATATATTGAAATCGATATAATATCAATTAGCAATTATTAAAAAAAAATGTGTATATGATATAATAAAGTTTTTTCTAACGTAATAATGATTATCTATTATAAAAGCATACATGCACAGACATATTTAAAAATATTAAAATTTATATTTTAGCAATGTAAAAACTTACACGTAAGTTATACTTATATAAGTATTACATATTATTTACAAACAAAGAAATGTACATCAGTAAGAAATAATATATGTGTAATTGAAATATATTATAAATATGTAAAACATTTAATTATCGTTTTAAACATTTTTTATTATACAGCTTTTTATTATATTGTTTAACTTTTTTCTTAAAAATTTATATTCTTTATACATATATTTCGCGTATTAATATGTTTTCAAATATGTTAAATAAAATAATATATAAATCATATGTGCAACTCCAAATTAAAATAATTTTTTTAAAAAGTTTTTTGAAAATTTTAGTAGTAGATATATTGTTTATAATTACTAAAAATAATATATATATTTTTTACTTTATTTTCCATTAGCAATAATTTATTTGCATTATTTGGTCATTATTGCCACTATTTTTACGTTTGTTTCTTTGTTATATAATCGTATATAAGAAATCAATATATGACATTAAGATAACAAATGACAATAATAATAGAACGATAACAGATAAGAAATAAAGTATCGTGATGACTACATTTGTAACTATAAAGACTATAATGGCGTTACAGTTTCAGTTAATATGGGCAAAGAATGGTACTAATACATATTTTGATCAAAGATAAGTTCATTTTTGTGTTTTCTTGTGCATAAAATATTCAACGTAATATTCTAATTCCCGTTCTGAATATTATATAAAAAAGTTTATCGAAATATGATAAGAGAGAAATACATTAGGATAAAATTCTTGTTTGTTAATGTGTAAATTTAAAAAATTCAATTTTCTGCATAATTTTATGTATTTTATACAATTTGATCAATATATACATCCACAAAGTATGTATTGATTTATACCGTGCAATATATATACCGTACAAAATACATTTTCTTACATTGTTCGATATCGTTATGGTTTTAAAATCAGCACTTAAATGATCGAAGATGCGGATGTAAGAATAGGTCCATCTTTTCTATAAAAATATAAGTTATTGATGCTTTAACATTCAGTGAATGATGGTTTATCAATCGACTCAAATACTACGCGTGTCTAGATAAAAGATACTATGAAAAGTCCGTACATATCTAGAATATGTCCGTACATACTTCGATTTTACTACTTCTGTAATTATTCTGATTACAGCCACATCGTTGCAACATTGTCATTATCCATTTTATATACATTATTAAATTGAAATAAGATAAAATATATTTTTGTATATTAATAAAAAATGAATTATTCATTTTAAAAAACAATAATCAATTTTATAAAACAAACATTTAAAATCTTAAAATGTATATTAAACAATTTTTGATACTTGAAAAGTTTTAGAAAAAATTTACTTAGTTTTCGTTTTTTCTATAATTTCAAAAGTTTAAAGAGACAAAGAAAAATTGAAGATAATTTTATTGTTGTTATTGTTGTTACAGCTCTTGCGACTTATTGCATAAAATTCCGCATCTTTCATTAGCTAATTTAAAATTTGCTTTATATAATATTCTTATATTCCTCCACCCATTATCGATAATGAATATTGCATTATTCCGACCGAGTTTTTCTTTATTATTACTTCCACATTAAGAAAAAATAATCGGCTTAACATCGTGGACTCTCAAATGGAAATTTAATTTACCATATTTTCGTGATAATATATTGTGCGAAATGGAAATATAAGGAGCATGAAACGAATATTATTCACGTCTTGTGCCCATCCTTCATCTTTTTCGGGAAGCTCTTCTGACATAGTTATATGAAATAGGAGAATTTATTTTCAATTGTAAACTCAACATATAGCAAATTGTTATTACATGAAATTGCAATTAACAAAAATGTGTTTTATAATTTAATAATAAATAAATAAGAGACAGTTTATGATAAACTTTTGTAAATCACTGTTAAATTGCATCGTTTGAAAGTATGCAGTTTCGGTCACAAACATCTCCAAATGAAAGGAAATTTCCTACGCCTGTATCAGATAGATGCGGATTTGCAAGTAACTAGATAACGTTTGCGGTTATCCCGACGCTGCTTGAGCGTTCGTCTTCATTAAATGCAAAGATGCTAATTGAATATTCCAAGAAACGGGATACCATTATCTTGTAAAGTAGAAAACAGAGGAATGTACCACACGAAATTTACAAATTAAATATAAATATTATAGCTTTTTTAATATCAAATTGAAGATCACGCAAGCGACATAAGTCATGATTAAATAATTTATATGAATACTTCATACATTTATTTAGTTAGAAAAGAAACATTATACAACTGAATCATTAATACTTATAATCGAGTAAAAAATAATAACTTATTTGTTGTGACAAAGAAAAGTTTTATTAAGAGACTGTGATATATCTTCAGTTATTTCCTTAATTGTACGTGTATTTCACATGAGAAATATTTTATAATTTAATAATCGTAATTTTTGAATATATTTATTGCACGTAATATGAGTTCTTTATATGACTTTGGCAAAGACATGATGTAATTTTGCAGAGTGACACGACGGATTTTCGCTATCTCTCTTACATGTTCTTCTTATGACGGGTTAGGAAAAAGTGTCGATCGCCTGGGATAAAGATGGGCGAGATTGGAAGATCGAAGATTGAAGGCGGTCGTCTGTACGACAAAAGTCAAAGTCATAAAACTTTGCAATAGAGTAGAATTTCTACTAAACGTGATGATTATTATATTTTGATCTATAACATTCTACTATTTTTCACTACTATATATTCGCTCTTTACTTTTTACATTTTTATCTATTATATCACACATTATATTCTAGATAGAATATTAGAATTCCTGAAATCGTCGATATTACAATATTCAAGTCTTATAAAACTATTCATATAATTTTTATTCTGATAAAAATTATATAAAGTATTATTATTCTGTAATATATAGAGGAAAGTGCCTTATTATGAGATAGGATCCTAATATAAGATGACGGGGTTTTTTCATGATGGGATCAACAGATGGGGCCTCTTAGCTTAACATTTCTCATATTAGGATCCTGTCTCATAATAGGGCACTTTCCTCTAATAATATTAAATAATTTGTGATAATTTGCACAGGACATGCACGAATTTTACGAGATTCGTTAAGATCAAGATATAATCGAAAAGCTGCAGAAGTACCATTATTTAAGAAACAATACTTTCTTGTATCGTTTATTTATAATTTACTTTTTCGAGAAAGGTATAGTGAGTGTGACATTTAGTTTCGCTCAACACGGGCAGTCTCCTTTGTACGTACATTATATATCGCTGCAAGGAGAACGCAATTACGCTTGCAACGTACCAGGGTTTTTGCCGAAAGGTTGACACATTGGAATTCATTGATTTTTTTTCTTACGCCGTGAAATAAGTATCGATCGTGCAGTACGAAAGACCGCCTGCCAAGATGTAGCCGGGAATATAAAATAATGATACATGACATGCGTGTTAGAGGGTGGATATTACAACTTAAAAAAAATCGCTTTCCACGGTAATGAGGCATAACAAATTCTTTACGTTCTTCTTTTTTTATTTAATAGTTAAACGTATCTTGTAGACGTCAATTTAAAAAAAAAAATTATGTATATTGTTTTCACCAAGATTTACTTGACATTATAATAATTACTGTTGACATTATATAAGTGTCTCTTTTATTAAAACATATAAATTTTTTTAGAAGATGTATTCGTTTAATTCATAGAACGTTCCGGATTAATTTCTTTTTCTATAACATATTTGTGCTATTATATTTTCGATAATTGTTGGAATAATCGTGAACAACTACAGAGCAGCGGCAAATGATGTTACTGCTGAGCTCTATAACAAATTGTTTTGAATATACGAAGAATTCAATGTAAAAATTAAATCATTACATTATTAAAATCCCTGGTATTTACTTAGTAACGTGCCATGCATAAATGAAATCACTCTTGCTTCGAAAGTAAAACCATGAAGCGGTTACTTCCACAGAATCGCTTGTCTTCGTTAAAGCTGTTTCGAGGTTCCGCGTCGCTTAGGGTAGAATGCGAATGTAGAGTTTCCTCGCGGTAAGCATTTCTTTCACTAGAAAGAGCACGTAATCGAAGAACGACGCTTTCGTCTGCGCGATAGAAAAATGTTATCAAGAGGGTTTTAATTCCTCCTCTGGCCGAGAGGAGGAATTAAATGTCGAGTGAGCGGTACGACCCTACGATCTTACTTGGAAACGATTTAATAAAGAGTCGTTTCGATTCGGTTGCTTACGTACGCCCTTGATTTCCGTAACTGAATTTCCATTTCGTTTCTCTCTCTTTCTCTCTCTCTCTCTCTCCCTCCTCTCTTTCTTTTCTGACGAGCTACGAACATCCGACGTCAAGTTTCCGTGCATGATTTAAGCGAAACGGGTTGTCACACGCGATGTGTCCGATCTATGTGTTCTCGCGCATGACCGGCAGTCATGTATAAATGCACACGCTATAAATACTAAAATAACAGATTGATTTATGATCGCGGCGCGTATCCTTTTTGCTTTTAATTTTTGGTACGTCGAGGCGTCGTGACGCTCGTGCAGTTTATATTCGATCTCCAGATAAAATATTCATATTTTCCTATTTGCTGATGATTTAAATTTTTTAGTTGACATGTTTACAGAATATCTGGTGTGAAACGAATATTTTACTGTGTACATGCGAAGACTCGATATGTTTGCATTAATAATATTATTATAGTTTTCCTCCTATTT